AAAAAAAAAAAGGAAAAAAAAGTTGCTGCACGCTCGTACATCCCCTTTCGTCCAGTAGTTCCCGCGTAGGGATAGAGGGATATCGTATCGCGAAAATATCTTTTTTTTTTTTTGGTTCGACGTCGAAAACAATTCGAAACGAACGATACGAACAATTCTTCGCTCCGTCGTGATGAATGATCATCACCCGCACCCTCCTCCTTATTATTTCTGTAAAATTAAAGGAAACGAAATGCGGGTATAAAAATGGAAATTCATTCATTCTATGAATCTTCTTTTTGATAGAGCAAGATGATAGAGCGAAATTTCTTTAAATTTAAAATTCCGCTCTATTCGATATATATTCGTTGAAGTGTAATTATATTTAAAGAAGCTTCTTCTTTAGCGGGGGTGGCTCTCGTTAAAGAAGAAAAAGGAAAAAGATTCGTTCGTTAACGTTTCATCGGGGGAAAAAGAGACGAGATAATATAGCTACGATACTTTGCCGGTGTGTATCAGAGAATCCATCCATTATGATAAAACGAGAACTGTAGAAACGCGGGAGAACGATGGAAACATTCGTTAAAACATTCTCGCTCGCTATAAAAATTCATAGAGAAGTTGCCGAGAGATCCGAGCGAGGAGGAGGAGGAGGAGGCCGTTGATAAAAATGCATTTATACAAAAAGTTATATTGGCATTCCATCGAATGGAGCTGTCAGTGTGCATTTAACATTGCGCGAGTAAAATACCAACATCGATTCCCTTTGATATCTTCGTTCTTCCGTAAACATTCGATCAACGTCAAACGAGTAAAGGGGAGAAAGGAGAGAGAGAGAGAACGAAAGGAAGAAAGAAAAAAGGAAAAAAGAAAAGAGAGAGAACTTAGAACGAGTTAAAACTCATCATTTTCTAAAAAAAAAAAGAAGAAAAAGAGAAGAAAAAGAGAAGAACGTTACAACGGTGAAGCGGCAATAATTGACCAAGTGGACCAAAGTTGGATCAATTTCCGGCTGGTTATCAACTTACGAATCCTCGTCGTTTCGATTCGATCAACCCTTCCTCCCATTGCCAGGGAGAGGCGATTTTATTTTCGAAAGTGACACGCGATTATCCAAGGGCGAAATATAAGCCTCGAGACGAGATGGGATGCGCGCGTACGTACGTGAAAAGGAAGGCTCGCCTCGTCTTTTGTACAAATTATGCACACGAGGATGTACACAGTTGGAGTGGATTGGCATGCACAAACCCAGACACTCGATCTAATTAATCAGCGACCCGTTATTTCATGCGGCAAGCACCTTCGCCACGCCGCATCGTTCGGCAAGTAGCACTCGGCGGCACAAAGGGGGCGAGCGTGTCCTATTCCTCGTGGAAATGAAAAGAAAAAAAAAAATAAATAAATAAATAAAAACCAGCGATCCGATGAGGGGTTAATTCGTCAATTTCAAGATTCGTCACTTTTCCACCGTGGTGGAAATTTTTATTAATCTCGCGGAAGGGTTGTGGTCGATCGAGTCGATCGAGCGACTTTTTCCGAGAGATTTCGAGAATTGAAAATTTCGTGTTTCGAGAAATTGATCGAGGATTTTAATCGTTGGACGATTGTTCGTAAGAGAGTCCGGTTTCGGTTTCAAATCGTTTGGTAATTGTATTTGAAACCACTAATGCATTAACATCGCTACAAATTGATTCAATTCCCTAACCTGCTATTTGGATTACTGATAATTTGTTCCCGATTTAAAGGTGTGTTTGCACGTATGTATATATACATACGTGCGCATTAATAGCGTTCGGTTTAATGCTCGCCAATAGATTGGATAATTAATAAATAAAGAATTTAAAGGGGGATGGTGTTCATTGACGTATTCATTCGAGGAAAATTTCATTTAATCGATCGGGACGATATATATCGAATAAATATCCGAAAATATTTTTCTTCGTAAGAAAATTGAACGTCTCTCTCGTTTTCGTTACATTGGAAAATAATAATCATTTTTGTGATAAATAAATAAATAAATAAATTCGAGCTTACCTTTGTATCTTGTCGTGCTTCCGGTAGAGTTCGAGGATGCGATTGCTGAAATACACAAATCGCGTAATAATTTACCTCATTGAACGTGAAATTACGAATAAAACAATTTTGAAGTTTAGAAGTTTCATAAATGCTTTTATTAAAGCTTAGGAAGCTTCATCCGTGTTCCAACTTTCCAAAGATTTTAACTCCTTGTTACTCCTCGTATTATGACTGGAAGTTTACACGCGCAAACACTTCGCTTTAATGTAACATAGTTCAAGGAACTGTTAACGATAAAATAAGTCATAATAGAATTATTTTATGACTAGTTTTATATATATATATATATCTTCAAAAAATTGATAAATACAATATCTTTGTAATATCTTTTCAAGAATCTTATTCAAACATTATTCCGATAAAATTGAAATCTAATTATAGAAAATTTTTATACTGCAATTTTGTAGTAAAAATTTTACAGACGAACGAATTATTTAAATTATTTACTCACGATAAACTTTGATGGTTCCATCGGTGTCCCCCAATGCGTTTCTAGACACGCACTTGTACGATCCAAAATCTGACGGACCGACCGAATTTATCGTCAACTTCATGTGAACTTTGTACGCGTTGTCCACCAGCGTGGGTTCGTATTTCCCCCCTGGAAATAATCCAAGATTAAACATAAAATTATTGATTAAACGAAAATTATTGAATTCTTAATCAAGCGAAGAAATCCCCCGAAAAATGAAATATTCTTCAATAATGCAGTATCTTGCACAGCCATGTACAGATTTTTTTTAATAATTAAAATTTAGTGTATATCATTCTTTTAAACGGAGCGAACGCTGTATCGCTGTTTCACCGTCTAACGAATATTTCATCCTCGTTTGCGCAAGTTGTTTGGATGCAATTAAAACCGCTTTTTTTTACTAAAAAAAAAAAATAAAAATAAAAATAAAAATAAAAAATTATCCGTTCAAACGTTTTAAAGGAATATATTATGAATAAAACATTTACAACCGTAACTCTGAGGAGGAAAGTTCACTTCTTCAATTGCTGAATATTATATTGAGGATAAATTTGCTCGATTCACCGCCATTTTCCATTATTGTGTTTATATCACAGCGAGTCAATTCAAAGTATCCGCTTATTAAATTACAAATATATCGAACGACGAGTTTAAACTCGTAAATTTTTTTTTCGAGATTAATCTCGTTGATAATATTTTTCCAATAAGTGAAAAAATAAAACAAATAATAATAATCCAAAAGAAAACGATGAACGATTTTTATCCACTATATTATTACATATAACGACTTGGCTGCAGATTTTTATATACAAACGCTTCCCTTTCGTGTGTATGAATATTACTAAACAAATTTAATCATATTCTGAATAAACTCACCCAGTCACGATATAATATTGAAAGTTGGAAAAATTCTGAATAGTTTATCTGTAAAAAAAGCACGAAGAGTCCCGATCCAATATCGAAGCAATATATTACACGACATCTCGTAAAAGGGTTTCTTTTTTCCAATTTCCCCTCCCCCTCTTTTTTTTTATATTCAAAAATTCGCGAAAAAAAACCTCTGATAATTTTAAAATCGTAAGCAAATTTTATGAATATTCCACAATTCGACAATGTGATAATACACATGTTATATCATTATTCAACCTTTTTTTCAACCGTAAACAAATATCCCAGTTACGACGATATCCTTTTTACGATAAATATGAACCCTTTCGCACGCCTCGTCCCGTTTCGAAACGATCGAAGAAATTCGAGCGCCTTTTCAAAAGCGAAGAACGCGTCACAATAGTTCAATCAGTTTGAAAGATGGCCCCGCTTGTTCACCGTGCCCGGCTTATTTTCGTATTCGTCGATGCAGCTGCGCTAAGTTAACGTGATTTCTGTTTAGATCGACACCATTCAGAGACATTTCCGTTTCTACGACTCGTAAGATTCTATCGTACGATATATGTATATACGCTCGCATTCCACGAAGGATACGTGGATGCAAAGCGAAATAATGAAAAGGAATACGATTGGGATGAATCGGTTTTCGACACGATCGAAACATTTCGCAACAGTTGAGAAAAATATGCGTTGAATAAATTTCGAATAAATAAATTCCAGCGTTTACGCTGGATCGGATGGACGAGTCCTGGAATGGCGACGACGACGATGATGATGATGATGGTGATGGTGAATACGTTTTTGGACAGGGAGAGGGAGGGTGGTTATTTTTCGTCGAGGAGAAAATTTGTCACGATTGTTACTTTCGAAGATGCTCTGTCTAATTCTGATTAAATCTCTCCCCATCGATCGAATGTTTCGAAACTTGATTTAGTTATTTATAAACAGGACATCAATAATTCAATAATTCCCGGTCGATCCTCGAGGTTTTTACAACGACGAGTCAATTCTATAATTGAATATTTCACGATGATAATTGAAATATAATAGAAAATAAATATTCTAAATCTGAATTAACCCTTGATCCCATCCAATTCTAAACCGAATTCTCAATCGTAATACAATTTGTTTCTTATATGCAGAATGGACGCGTTTCGGAAAAATTCGTGAAGGATCCATGGAAGGATTGATTAAATTATTAAAAACAAAATGACGAAGCGAATGAAAATATGACGCACGCACGATGGAAAGAACGAGGGTGGGCGAGAATTTTGCTGTAACCCGATTGCAACGAGATCGCAAAATTCACATTGTACGTACACCATTATTGGTTTCGATACAGATGCAAATATCAACGAGGCTGGCGACGTAATAACGAGAGGAGAAAAGGCCAAACCCTGTCTTCATATACATGCATACGCATCCTCTCGACACTCCTCATAAATGCCGGATAAAATCGTGTTATAGCTCTAACGTCCTGCTTCGATTCCCATGTATTATTCAAAAGCTAATTCTGTACTGAATAACCGAGCGAAAGGTAAATCTGACGAAACATTTGGCGCGTGATGTATCAATCAGATAAACGCACTAGGCAGTCGATTTGCTTCTTTGATCGAGCGCCCATCATTCGATAAAAGGGAAGTTATGCCGAAATCCGTTATATCGAGGGAAATAATTGAAAATCCGAAATTTTAAAAGTATTCCTTTCCTCAAGGGAACCGCACCGCCTCTGACGAATTCGACTATCCAAATATTCATCTTCCCTGTAAAATCAAAATCTCCTCAAGATGTGACGCGTGGCCATAAAAAAAGAAAAAATACGAAAGAATTTTATTACGACGGAACAAAGTGGTTTTCGAAGGTGGAAGAAAAGAACGAGTGGTCGGTCGGGGTGTTGTCAACTCACCGCCAAAGTGGTAATTGAAAGGAAATAAATTCGAGCGCGGAGGTTCGAGCTAGCGTGGCGGGCACGAATGTACGTCGAAACGCATTTGACGCGAGCCACTAAACGGGCAGAGATCGCGATACGGTGAAAATACGGTGAGGATCTGAAAGGAAGGGTGGATCGATGGAAAGAGTACTAAAGCTGGCTTTTATAGGGGCGAGCATAAAGCGCGGGGTTGAACGTTTATACTCCGCCTTGTACCCGTGTTTATGCGTTTGGCATGGAGCTTTCGTTATTCAAAGAGCTCGTTACTCTTCTTCCTTGGGGATAGAGGTGCATGTGCAACAAGAGAACGCACCGTGCCCGTGTAATTATACCTTTGGAAAGGTTAGGATCGATCCAGGAAGAGAAACGGTTCAATGGTCGATACAGAGACGAGGCTCGCGGTGACGAGCACCCAGTTTTCGCGTAGATTCGCTCTCCTCGTTACCTCGAAATGCGGGTGGAATTTAACTTGGAAAAGAACGAAAGCATTCCTTCCGTTAAGAATATTTTTTTTTATATATGTAATTACGGAAAGGGAGGGTGGTCGTAGATTATTCAGGTTGCTCGAAAAGTGGAAAGATAGGTAAGGATAGAGAAGGGTAGGGAAGATAAGGAGAATGGAATTCATCTCCCCGTGGATTCACAACTTGTGGCTACCGACTTGATAGAATTTAAAGTACTTCGAGAAATAGAAAGATACTAAATAAGAAATTTTAATCAAAGATAGACGATTCTTTTCTATTAAAAAATATTTCTATTGAAAATATAAATAGACGAAGAGAGAGAGTGATCGTGGGTTATTTTGAAAAATATTACGTACGAAAATTTAAAGAGGATAGAATTCGTCTCTTCGATCTATTAAAAATATTTGTTTACACATACCACTCTTTGTCCTAAGTTATTTGGATATTATGTGAAAAGGGTTTCGAAGAAGGTTGAGAAGCACTGGTATGAGTAATTACCATGTACGCAAGGGAAGAAAACAGTGGAATCATTGTTTTAACCTACCTTGCGGAACTATTTCGTCCTTATCCCTTGTCCAATAATTGATGGATTTGGGATAAGCCTCTGAGAGGCACTCGAGAGTCAACTGTTGTCCCTCCTGGGCGCCCACCAATTGATTCTGCACCCAAATCATGGGCGGAACTGAAAAGAAGAAAAACAAATTTTCCGAGTGCCGAGTGAACAAACGTTTGCCTTTCCCTCGTTTGCCTTTAACTTTTTCCATTTTTTTTACCGAATAATAACGTTCGAATCGAAGGTAAAAATATTTGAAAATAATTGGAAACGTCTCGATACAAAGCGACGATTAAATTTTCTTCGCCAATCACCTGGTAAATATTTTCCCACTTACATTGGACGGTGAGCATGATTCTTTTGCTGACCGATGGTGGCACGCCATTGCTCGCGATGCAAAGGTAGAAACCCATGTGCGATCGATCAACTTTCGATATATTGAAATTTGGCCCCTCCACGTAGTTGACTGAAACAATGAATTTCGTATAATTATAATACGATTCAACGATGCAACGAAAAAAAAAAAAAAGAAAATTAAAGCGATTTTCCTCAAATTAGAAAACAAGTATAATTATCTCCCGTTCGTCGAATCGATAGATTAGCACACAGATATTTTAAAAAAGTAATTTTTACATTTAAAAAATCGCTCGTTGAACGTACGTTTCCTCCTCCTCCTCCTCCTCCTCCTCCTCCTTCCCCTCCCCCCTCCTTCTGTTTTTTCCCGGAAGTTTCGATGAAGTTACACTTTCAGACAGTTTGGTATACGGGAGTGAAGTTTTTGAAATGGGCCCCCAACAACTTTTTCACCGGTCGCGGTATATATTTGCCGCCACCGGTATATCCGCAATACGATGAAAACTGCGTCGAAATTCCCCCCCCCCTCCCCCCTCCTCCCTCCCTCCCCGCCTATATAATTTGTTTTGGAAAGTAATCAAAAGCATAGCTGAGTTCACAAATTTTTTCTCTCCCAATTCTCTCTCTCTCTC